ACTCCAGCTGCTGTGTTCACACCTTCTCTTATCGGCCGCTCAGATTAGTGGCGGCAGCCAGGTGCTGGGGCAGAGCACAGCCCTCCCCCCACCGCCCGCCTGCCTGCACCTGGGGGGCCCTGCACCAGCCAGGGACCAACTCCTGTCTGCAGGCAGGCCCCCATGCTCCCCGAGGGCCAGCTGGCTCTCCACTTCAACCTCTGCTTTTTACACTTACGTGCAGGGGGCGCTTCACTCTGCTCTGTGCTCGATGCCAAACACTTGTCAAGAGTCCCTACGACCCCATGATAGTCAGCCAGCACCAGCCCCACTGCACAAACAGGTAAACCAAGGCTCACAAAGGCAGGTGTCCTCCCCAAGGTCTCCCCACCGAGAAGCTGTGGGCCTGGGGTGCAAATGCAGCAGAGGCCCTGCTCTGGGGTGTTTATGTGCACAGGGTGGGGTGCCCTGTCTGGCTGCAAGGCTCCTGAATGCCCCTTCTCAGCACCCCTGGGAGACGCTAGTTTCCACCTCCTCACTCAGCCCAGCGGATGGCAAAGGAGACCCAGGCGCACGGCCCAAAGCTCTGCAGACTGGGTCAAGTTCTGCTCCCTCAAAGAGGTGACTTGAAGCTCCATGTTGTCACCCTGGGCATCATCCAGCTTCAGCCTACAGCTGGCCCAAGCCACAGGCCCAAGAGAGGCCTATGGCCACGCACAGAGCCACAAGTCCAAGCCATCTGGCAGGTAAGTGGCAGGCACAGGGCCAGCCCCGCCAGCCCAGGACCACAGGATGGCCTCTCACCACGCTCATGCCCTCGCCACCCACAGGCTTCTAGAAAACACCCCTCTTCCATGAAAACCTGGCTCTCCCACCATGATGTGGTCTGCCCTGCTCTCTGTGGTACCCCAGCCCGGAACCAGGGCACCCGTTCAGCAAATGCTGCTGCACCGCCGACAGGGCACCAGGCACCTGGAACCTTCTGGAACATTCCCCACCCACTTAGCAACTTTTCTTCTCTCCACCATCATGTTCTAGCTAACAGCCCCACCTACAAAGCTCGTACACCTGAGTAAGCCTAAGCCACGACCTGGAAATGACATGGGGGGGGAAGGGGGGAGACCATCAGCCCACCACACTAGGAAGTCTGGGGTCCTTGTCGTGGGGCACACGTCACTTGGCAGTCAGGCCTGACACAGGCTCAGTCCACTGCCCCAGATGCCAGGACCTCTGAGGATGCCCCAAAAGGCACACACTGAGCAGCGGGAACACCTGCTTCTAACAGGAAACAAGCCACGGCATCCAGGGCGCCCCCAATGGTGACCCACAGCTCCGGGTGCTCATCTATCACCGCCAACCACACGGACCTCGCCAACACGGCACCCCGTTGCTGCAAAGGCAGGGAAGGGGAGAAGGCCCGTCTACACAGGTCTCTCAGGCAAGCAAACCAGAACCGTGAGGTGCCCGGCACGTGATACATCACTCAAGAACGCAAGCTCTAAGCATCCGACTCCAGCAAGCAAGCAGCACAGTCCCCTCCGCGTGTCTGCAGCCCCGGGTCGGGCTGCTCGAGGCCACTCTGACAGCAGACAAGGCCCCCGAGGGGACCGCCAAACCCCGCGTGTGAAGCCACCCAGCACCACACGATGTGTCCGTGGCCTGTCTATGAAAGGCAATGGTGCACCTGCACAGGCAGGTGCCAGCTCAGCACCTGTGGGGGGGGGGGGTACTGCCATGGCCACAGGAGTCCCCACGGGTCTGACGAAAGCGAGGACCCTGGTGCGCCGCGCACACCCACCTGGAATGAGCCTCCCAGGGCGCAGGCAGGTGAGTGGCACGCAGGCGAGTCAGGAACACACAGCAACCCCTTGCCCACATGAAGGGGAAGGCGGAGGTCTTGTGGTCCCCATGTCCACAAGTCCCTCCTCAGGCCTGGCCCGCCGCTCAGGAGCCCAGTCACCTCTGGGCAATGCAGAGCAGCAGGCCCACTTCACGACAGCACCTGCAGGGTCTGCAAGCCCGTCTTTTGGACTCACCCAGCCCCACAAGGGCCCTGCGAGTGCTGTGAGCAGAGGCTCAAAGAGCAACACCCCCATGCGGCAGAACGACCCCCACCCTGCACATGGGCCTAAACACCAGCACAGAAAACACGGTCCCAGGTGCTCCCCCCTGCCAGGAGGCAGTGCCCAGCCCGGCAAGAGCAGCTCCCAAAGCCTTCTGCGGGGAGGCCCCATCTTCCCTGAAGGCAGGGGGCCGTGACAAGAGGGGGCTGAAAACCAAGATGACTGTGTCCAAGATCCTGAGGAAGACACAGGAGGAGCGGGTGACCCAGGAAAGGCCAGCGGCCCGCCTCTGACACGGCTTCCAGATGCCAGCCAGGTCTCCTGGGGACCCACACCGGCTCGGAGGGGGCAGTAGGCCAGAAGGTGCCCTCGGACACCCGGGACAGTGTCGGTGGTCAAGATCTGCCCCTACACGGGCCCAGGGTCTACACAGGACTGGCGCTAGCCAAGGACAGCCCCGGGGATGAGGGAAACATGCACCGGAGCTCTGGGGCGTGCACTCTCCCTGCTATCAGAGCTTGCTCTGCTGCCCGGACAAAAGTTCATTCAAGAGAAGACAGAGAAGTGATACTTTAAAATGGCTTCCCCAGAAAATCAGTGTGAGCTTTGGCCACCTAGAGAATTCGGGAGGTGACGTGTCTTGCTGCAAAGCCCTTCCAACACAGATTTATGGAAGGAAGTAGGACGTTACAGGAATCTTTCGTCCTGCAAGCCAGACTTATTCAGTCTAGAGATGCAACCTTTCCCACCTCAGGCAGGGCACCCTGGGAGAAGAGTGGGTGAGCCCTCCTCCGTCTGGCAGAGGCCAGCAGGTGCAGATGCCCCCCAGCATCCTGAGGGCAGGAGGAGGAAACAGACTTTTGGGGCGTTCCAAAGCTGCCAGCCAAGGCACTCCTGGGGGCTGAGGAAGGGGGGTCAGAGGGTGGTAAGAATCCTGCAAAGCTCCCCATGCTGAAGGCAACACTCCCAGTGACCTCCACTGGGATCCCTGACACCCAGCCATCCTGGGGCCCGACAGAGGATGGACATCTCCATACTGTGCAAGAGGAAACCCCTTCCCCAGGCTCAGAGCCAACAAGCTACACCTGTTGCCCTCTCTCGGCGCACAGGGGTCCCAGAGACCCAACCCTCACCTCCTCCACTAAGGACAGCCTCACCAAGCTGGACACCTCCTCCCATGATGCTACACTCCCCCCTTACCCTCCCACCCTCTGTGTCCTCGATGGTGACCTTGGGGGTCCTCAACAATGAACAGGGTAAATAACAGCCTCCTTGTTGGTGAGGAAACAGCATGCCGCTCCAAATCCCACCTCAGAACAGCCCAGCAGAGGCAGCTGACCCCAGATGCTGCCCATGGACCTGGAGGAAACGTCGGATACCAGGTCGCTCAGAGAGGTACAAAGACTGCTTCCCACCAACGGGGGCTTCCAGTACCTCCTGTTCAAGAACCGCCACCAGACGAATGGCAAGCCTTCTCCAGCCTTCCTACCACCACCCAGAGTCCAGGCATAAAAGACCCCTGGATGGCAGCCAGGCTCCAGGCCTGTGCTCTGCTCAGGACCCAGAGGCAGAGCTGCCTGCCTTGCCTTACAGGGTATGGGAACTAAAAACCCTTCCGAGGGTCACGTGGGCCTGCAATGCCTCATCACTGCTGAGGCCTACCTCGGATCCCGCTGCCGCTCCCCGGCTCCTGCCCACCACCCTGCACCAGCGGGTGCCCACAGCGCCACGCAGGGCCACGCAGGGTCACTTGGCGAGAGGGAGAAGGTGGGAAGGGAAGACGCAGGGCCATGCTCTAAACCTGGGGTCCTCTGCTCCTCTCTGGTCCTCCCTCACCCACACAGCAGCAGTGCCATGGCTGGCCAGGGCCCCCAGACCACAAACCACCGAAGTCACCCCTCCACAGGGCCCAGAATCATCCACAGCCATGAGGAAGGAGAGCTCAGTCCCTCCCGAAGGACTCCACAGGACACCACCAGCCCTGCCAAGAAAACTCCACACTGCCACTGCAAAACCAAGGGACTGCAGGAAGGGCTGGCCTCTGGAGCTCTTTGTCTCTGGAGAAAGGCCAAGGACAGGTTGACACCCACCAAATCGGGGGGCTCGCACACATGCAAGCCACACGGCAGGGGCCCAAAGGACAGAGCAACCAAATCCAGTTTCGGAGCCAAAAAGGCAGGCGGCCTGCAGTGTGGCGGGCTGCCCTGCATCAGGCCTGGAAGGCCCTGCTAACTTTACGGGGTGCTGGGGTAGGCTTACACCCGGGCAGCCAGCTCGCCTACAGGACAGCCCCATGCCTGACAGCTGACCCCCCCCAAGTGAGGGAGGGCCCGTAAACACCCGCTCTGACAGGCAGTGTCCTGGCTTCCAAGGCTGGCCCAGGCAGCTCGGGTTACTGTTTATATAATCTTCTAGGGCTGGGGCTTGACACAGCCAACGTGAGGGCAAGGTTATGAAAAATGCATGTCCGGGGCCTTTGCATTAAAAAAAAAAAAAAAAAAAATCCTACCGGCATTTTGTATGGCTTGGTTTTAAGACCTCTCACACATCCATCTTGTGAAGCAACGGGCCCTGGGGGAACCACGAGGCCCCTGACGCACCCCGGCCCGGCAGCCCCACGTCGCACAGACCGGGGTCAGAAGCAGCCCCTCCAGCACCCCCAGCTGGGGCCCCCACACCTTCGGACTCCAGAGCGCCTGGGACACAGGGCCCCCACACTGCTGCTGCCCGTACAGACCGCCCGGGTGGGTACGGCCGGACTGACGGACACGCCCTCCAAGTGCCCACTCCTGCGCGTGGGCCCACACCGTGCCACACTTGACCTCGCCCGCACCGGCGGTGCCGCGCACAGAACGACACGCGCCGCTGCCCCCGAAGGCCGGGCGCGCGGCCCCGCGCAGGAGCAAGGCTGCGCCCGGAGGCGCTCGCCCACCGCCCACCTGCGGCCAGCGCCCTCACCTGCAGCTCGCACCAGGCCACCTCCACCCAGGTTTCCGTGTCCAGCCCCTTGTAGACCGTCTTGAACGAGCCGCGGCCCAGTTCGATGTCGAACTTGAGGAAGCGGCCGTCCAGGGACGTGGCCACGGCCTTGAGGTCGTCCTCGTCGTCGTCCTCCTCGGGCTCGTCCCGGCGGGGGCGCCCAGGCTCCGGCCTCGCCTCGGACGCCGCGGCGTCTTCGCGCCCCGCCGCCGCCGCCGCCGCCGCCTCGCGGGGGCCTCCGGAGGGCGCGGGCTCGGGGTCGGGGCCGGGCTCCCGCGCGCCCGCGGGCTG